GCAGCTCCTTATGGGCCACCATGGGAATGGAATGTTGGACCAAATAGGTTTTTAGATGTCCCTTTCACGTCTTCACATTTTCAATGTGTAATTCATTCTGTCAGTTGCACATATTTTATGTAATGGTATCCTGTTTTACAATTTTTTAAAAAAAGGTGGGGGTAGAAGCAGCTTCAGAACAGGCATATTTTCTGCTCTCACATGGAAAATTTGTGTCTGCTGTGATAGATGTATGCATTATTATTTTTACATCTCCTCAGAACGATAGTAATAGCGGAAATAATAAAAAAAAGCACTGGTGTGATGATTTACCTGATTTATTTAACAGGCTGATTGCCTTGATCCATCAACTTTGCAATTTTCCTAATGATAACATACAAGACTGTAAGGTTTTTCTTCACCAGTGTGGTCTAAGGATTAGGGTGTTGGGTTAAGGCCAGATTTGTGTGTACTTCCAGCCACAGAAGGTCAATAGGTGACCTTGGCAGTCACTCCTTCAACACAACCTACTCCAGACAATTGTAGCGAACAAAGCAAAAGATGGATATGGATATAGTTATGCATGCCTACAAGCTTCCTGGAGCTCCTGGTGGGAGATGCCAACTTAACAAGTAAATTAATAAAATTAAATGAAAATAAATCAGCATTGGTGTTAAGCAGCAGTCAACCTGATGCATCCAGTCTAGATCAAACATAATGTGCTAGGTATACCATCCAAACAACTTTTCCCCTCCAGAAGCACAGAAACACTACACAGGAACAATTTACAGGTAGCAACAAAAGGAGGCATACACAGATTAGGCATCAACAAGTAAGATTAGACAACAGCGGAATGAAATGATGATTTAAAAATAATTGTCTAATTTGCTGGGAGAAAAGGAACATTTTTTTACACCTCATTTCTCAGGATAGGAATTTCCACCTTGTAGATGTGGCCATTGCTAACTCTGTCTCTGAAGGTAAAAGCGTATACAACTTAAGGGGACATGGAAGATAGGCTCTCAGGAATCAAGACACAAGCCCACTTAGCTCTTACAAGCACCTTGAAGTGTACATGGAAATGCGCCGGTAGCTAATGTGCTATAGCTGCTGAAATAAAACTCTTGCACAATCCCAGTATTTCTCCCCCCCACCCCCCGTCAAAAGTCTAGCAGCTTTGTTTCGCACTACAGTAATCACATCAGCAAGTGGGTTTCTGTAATTCTGTAATAAGTAATGAACATTTGTGGAATCATGGCCAAGGCTGATCTAATCGGCATCAGACCCATTTAGCATACCAACTGAAGCAGCGCAAAATAACTCCTGTACCTTTCCGTCTTCATTACATCCAGTCTCTGTAGGTTTCAAATTAAATGTTCTATAGTTTTAAACACAGATTCAGGCACTATGCATGGCATGCCATGATGGGCATCAGCAATATTGGCAACCACAATATATTTGACTGCAGGGTTGTGTGAAGCCTGCAATTCTTTTGGTGATTGAGGACTGTATTTACTGTTTGAATTTAAAACATGCAGATTTGCTTAAGATCGAGATTTGTAGTGTGAATGTTTCTGCAAAAAGAACCCGAAGCAGGCCAGGTTTAATTAGCCCTGCCTCTTTATGCTTGAACCTGTCCTTCCATATCCAAGGAGAAGATGCTTTAGATAAGGAAGATCTATCTACTTGGAGGGATATATTACTTTGCTATCACTTATATTGGGCTATTGCTATTCATATGTACTGTGAATACCCTCATACACAAGCAAATGTATTTGTGAGCAGTGCATACATAGTGAACAAGGCACAGCCTGAAAATGAATACATGAAAGAATCTATCCTATCAATCTTTCTAACTATACACCCAGAAGCCTTAAATTTGAGCTCTTGCCATAAATAGCAGAACATCCTCCAGGAGCCGGTTCTGAAAGACCACAACCCGTCTAAGAAGTTTTCCAGACCACACACTAATGTACAATAAATCAACGTGGATTATTCACACATTTCACCATATTCAAAATTCTTCCAGCTGTCATCTTTAACAGCATTAGTTTGATGTTAGGAAAGTATTACAGTGTCCTCATATTTATGTGTCTGTGGCTATTACAAACTGTGTGAATCATGTTTAGATGAATGTCATGGCCTCCTATGAATGGTACACAAAAAGAACAATGCAAAACAATAAGCCTAAGCACAGAGGGTCATTTTTCCCCCCTGCATTGGACTTATGAATCTCTTCTGGTGTTCCACAGGGCTCAAATCCAGAAAAGTGTGCAAGATGGTTACCTTCAAGATATAAAAAGCTAAGTTGAAAGGACATGCCTCAACATCTTTTCTAAAAATAGAGTTTGGGACCAAATAAAGTTCCATAGAGAATTTGTTCCATAGCTTGGTAACAACTCTTAATTTAGTAGGTTATGATTGAGTTCCTTGAATAGATGGTGAACACAGACACTTTTTAATTCGGTTAAACTGATTTTATTTTCCTCACTCTTCTGTTTTCAGCTTTTTCTTTAAAGAATATAGAATTTAGAAACCTCTAGATATTTTGAACATAAACTCTTCCCTAATCAGTGAGGCCAGTGCAGAAGGTTGCCTTAAGTCACAGCACAATGATGTGTCCATTCATAGATAACTTCTCATGGGCATCAGTTCTGCTTCAGAAAAAGTCTGTTCTGTACTAAAATAAAAGACGGTGTCCTTATGACTGTTTGCTTCTATGTCTTTTCTTACTTGTAGCAGAATTACTACTAATAGAAGAAAATATTTGTAGTTTAGGGTTGACCTGTGAGGTCTTTGGTGCTCTCTAAGCTTGGTTGTTTTCTTGCAGACCTTTCATTATCAAATTAGGTAACATCCTCAGTGCTAGAAGAGTGGTATCTCATATGTTAAGAGTGAAGTTTAAAGTCATCCAAGTAGATTTTGGGTCACATAATAGAGCCTTTTCTTCTTTACTTTTATTTTATAGTCTTATTCCCAATTTCTCTTCAAAAATCTATTCAAGAGATATGGAAGATTCCCCCCAGAGGAGAAATTGATGAGAATGGAAAGACTGAAAATAAGGGAACTTACCATCCATGCTCTCAATGGATGTTCCGTAATCAAAATACCTCAATAGATTTCCCCTTTGGTGCTATAAGGATATTGTGACAAAATCTTGTCGATTTTCCATTTTTTTAGTTGAAGTATACCAGTGCTGAAATGAATGTGTGATCAGGAGTATGAAAATCTTGTAAATAATTGTCACAAGATCCTAAAAGTTTGCAGTGTAAGAGAAACATTAGCAACCACATAGTTTCTGAGTGTGACGGACTATGAAATAATAAAAAATTCTTAAGGCTATAGTAGTGGTGATGAAACAGTTAAACCATAATTCATTTGATAATGAGGTGGACTCACAATATATTTAAACTCCATACACAATATGTTTTCCTGAAATGCTTTTCTGTATTATTGAAAACTTAATCCACACAAATAAAAAATATCTTTGCCCTTGATTGAACTGGCAACAAACCAAGTTCCAGTTTCAATAATACGCCACAAAAATTTTGTGTAGGATAAGAGGCATATCTAGAAGGAAATGAATTTGTAACAAAATATTCTTCTTCAAGATAGCTCCAGTTTGAATACTGCATGAATTATTAGAAAAGAAACTAGCAACAGGCAAATTTTTAGGAATTCTGAGTGTTAATCATTTCCATGCAGATAAAAGATAAGGAAAGTTTCATTCCTTGGCTAGTAAAGTTATTTGCATACAATAAAGCCTGAAATAGCAAGAGCACTTAGACTTATATACCGCTTCATAGTGCTTTACAACCCTCTCTAAGCGGTTTAGAGAGCCAGCATATTGCCCCCAACAATCTGGGTCCTCATTTTATCAACCTCGGAAGGATGGAAGTCTGAGTCAATCTTGAGCCTGGTGGGATTCACTGCCAAATTGCAGGCAGCTGGCAGTCAGCAGAAGTAGCCTGCAGTACTGCACTCTAACCACTGTGCTGCCATGGCTCATAGAGGCACAGTTAATTCAATGGATCATTCCATTCCAATGGATCATTGAATTAACTAATTATGTGCAATTAGTTTTATGCAATTTAAAATGCTCGCAGTTCAAGACTAAAAAATTTCCAACATAGGCCACATGTTTTAATATTATTATAACAGATCAGAAGTAGACAGCAGACTCCTGCCAGGTGAAAAAACAGCCTTTGAAATGAAGTTGAAGGGAAGACAAGGAGAAATGCAAACTTATCTATATCCTAACACAGGGTGTGAAATTCAAGACCCACGGGCTGGATCTGGCCTGTGGGGTGCTTAGATCTGGCCCTCGGGGTCACCTGGAAACAGCAAAAAACTGGTCTGTGATGCCTCTACCAGCAAAAATGGCACTTGGGTGGACTGCATGCAGCCCTCCCAAGCTCAGGTAGAGGGTTGCAGGAAGCTGTCCCAGCCTAAAATGGAGCTTGCAAGGCCGTTTTTGCTTGCAGAGCGCTTGGGCCACCACAGGCACCTCCGATATGAGTGACATCAAGCTGGGCATGCCCCCCCCCGCCCTGAGGTCAAACACAACCCTGATGTGCCCCTCAATGAATTTGAGTTTGACACCCCTGGCCTAACATATTCAGAAAACTGTGTTTCATTGCATAAGAGAAAAAGTTTTGGTTACATCAGGTTTGTGATGCACTTCCCAATCCAGAAATATCTGGGCTCATTTATTTCCAAGTTAGTTTCTTTCCTATGAGGTGTTCTCCCCTTGTTGTCAAGCAACTATATGATTATTGTAGCAAGATAGAAATATCCATCTTTCATATTTCAGCTTTATTGCAGCAACTATTAGCAAAATGAAAAAAATAAGCATAAGGAAAGTGATAGGTATGATTATTTTTAGGCAGTTTTTAAATTGATAAATGTTTTAGGAAAACTAGAATCAAGGTCTGAATATTCTAAGCTATTACAATGAAACATATACAGTACTTCTACCTCAAATCGTATTAAAGTAATTTTTCGTATTGAAGTAATTTTTCCAAGTAGAAAGTTTTAATGCAAAACCAACTTAATCAAATCTTGTATCCGATTAAAAATAATGGCTGAATTTAATTTCAAGAAACAGTCACAAGGCATAAAGGTAAATTGCTCACCCACTTATAAAAACACCTTTATTTCTAGTCTGGAAATCCTGGGGGCTGTTTCAAGGCACTTGTGCAAAGGACCACGGACAGGCAGTCTGCCGCTTCGTTAGAATGCACCCTACAGGCAAAATCCTAATTACAAGTCAAGAAAGATTGCTTGTTTATGAAATTCACTTGATAATGAAAGGACAAAAGAGATGTGAGAGAAACTGAGACCCTTCAATAAAACCAGATATTGTGAATTATCAGCTGGATTTCAAGGACCAGAAATTAGATACCAATTCTGAATTTAAAGGCACACAGCAATTTGTAAAATTGTAGTCTCACAGTATGTGTTCCACAGAGCACTTCAAACCCATGAAACAGCATAATCATACCTAGGGGCCCTAAGGATCAACACAAATAAGCCAAATTGGAGCAAATGTCTACAACTGTTGCAAAAGAAATAGTTATCGCTTGGCAACCAAGAAACAACAATATTGCTTTGATTAATGATAACTATAATAATACATAAGTATTCCCTGATTTACTGAAATGATTCCATGAAGAGAAAAACACAAATATTAGGTTAGAAAACCATACAAACTAGTGATAAATGGTAATAAAATTACAACTCTTCACTTAGAGTTGGAAGCTATTGAAGAGTTCAAATAGAGCTGTTTTCCCACCTGACAGGAAACTTTGCATAATAGAGCTAATGTGAAAATAAAAGTGTTGCAATGCTTTAGTAACTAATTAACTAGTTTAACCCTAAAAAAATAATTCCTGTTTAATTGGTCAGCAAAAAAACACAAAGAAAAACCAAAACAGCAATGCAATGTTGAGATACCTTTCCTGTTACTGATGGCTAAAAATAGGATGTAACAGAAGTGGCCCTTCTGAAAGGACATCATCAGTATTTTCCTTGCAAGCAGTGGCAGGCAGAAAGCTACCAGATGTAATTTTGTAGGCACTTCAAGGGAAGAAGATCAGCAGCTTTCCATGTATGAGAATTTCACTAGTCCTTTACAACAAAAGTATGCAGGTGGAGGGCAAAGGGGAAAAAAGATGGAGGAAAAGCTTATGTCTCTTCTACTATAGCTTATATGGCTGACAGAGTGTGATTCCCTCTGGATTGCTGGCTAAATGATTATTAATATATACATTTATAACAACTGCAGATAGAAAAAAAATAAACTCAGTCAATCAAGCTTCTTTAAATGAGAACCCTAACAACACAGACAATATGTTAATAGCATAGAGAACTTTGTTTTAACTAAAAGTACATACTTTTCTTCATCCTTGTTGCTACATTTTACTTGTTAAAACAAAGTGGTTTTCACACTGGGCAAGTTTCATCCTATGTTATCAAGAAATAAATGCCTGTCTGTCTGTCTTATCTTCTATATCTATTTGTCTGAAATGAAGCTTAATTTTCTTATAATTTATGGACTTTTCTGCATTTCATTCAATTCATTCAAACATGAAAAGACTTCAGTACGTCCAGGGATTTTCAGTTCTGAAAACTCAAGTCAAAAATAACAGTGTGGTCTTTGCCCTGTTGTTATCAAGATTTCTTTTATATTGACTGAATTGATGTTGGCCCCAGAGATGAATATTCAAATTCAAAATTCACTGAACCTCAGAATGGTTCTATATTCCAGGCTTGAATATAAAATCTTATGGTTTAAACACAAAGGAGAAAGTAGTAGAAATAGCTGGCTGTGTGATTTGATACAAAGGAATAATAGCAAGAGAAAAGAAAAAACGTTGGTATCATGTGTAAATATTCTGTTATATCTGATTCTTTGCTGTACATGCATTCCATACATTTTTGTTTACAGAGAATTTTACATTTGAGAGTTCTTGATCTTTACAACTGACAGCATCAGATGATCTAGAAGGAGTGAGAACACACAAATCATCTTTAACCTGCTCACTGCTCTTAACCAACAGAGGATCAATTATGGGTTTCCAATAATGTTTTCTTTAGGAAAAGTAAAAGGGCAGGATTAGGCAAGCGGAAAATTCCAGCTGCTAATGCTACCATCTGTCACAAGGATGACAAAAGGGGCTCTTCTTTATCACTTTGATTGTTTCAGGAAAAAGGTGAAATGACTTTTGTATTATTACCAAGAAAATTAGGTGTCCATGTCCGTGAATAAGGCTACCACATCTGGGCTGCAAAACAGTCAACCATAGAGGGCACAAAACATACAGAACCCCCTAGCTTGCTGCTGGCCTTCTAATGGATGTACAATTTTTTGCAGCTTAGATATGGTAGCCCAAGTATGCAGTCACTAGGAGTAAAGCTCAACTCAAAAAAGATTTTGCTTTTTTTGCAAATAAAAAGGCATTTGTTTCCTAGATACTGAACATAACTAAAATAACAAATAGGCAGCAATTATAACAACACCACTTGAGAAAGGATTTATAAGAGAATTTCTCTAACTATATTAATAACAATAATAATTAAACATGGTCTCAGTGTTTTATACCCTGAAAGCCACAAAGCTGTATTTATCGTATATCTATATTACTGACAAAAAGTCAAATTTAATGCAATGCTTTAAACTGTCAGTTCTTAAAGTGCCTTATTTTTAAATGGGACAAAAAAAAATACTGGTTGTATGTGGAAAAGTTCTTTTTAAAAAGCATCTATTTTTACATAGATTTTGGATGGTCTACAGCAAATATTATTTGCAGATTTTTTTTAAACTTCAGCACAGCAACCAAAAAGCAAAGTTTTATAAGAAATGGGGGAAAGTGATTGTTTTCCAAAGGTTTTCTGCAACCAATACTGTCCCACCTAAGGTCACAAGGGTAATTCATTTGATCTCTGAAAGATATTTTACTGAGAATAAACCCTTTTTTGACTCTCTTTTAGCCCTTTCGACCTGGCTGGGAAATAGAAGTAACTACTTAAACAAGTTCAACTTTGGCATTGGGATAAACAGCTACCACGTCGTATCCTTCTGGTGGTTTAACCCTTTCCTTGGCATGCGTCTCACAGTATAGTTGTTCCTCAATGAAGAAATAGCCCCTTTGCTTCAGATTGAGGCCACAGTCATCACACATGAAACATTCTGGATGGTAGAGCTTGTCACGGGCTTTCACTATTGTGCCACTGTTAGGGTGAAGGAGAGAAGAGAAGAGAAGAAAGTTAAATACTTAAAACCATTACTATTTCTTGCAGGTCAATGAGTTGTTACATAAGCCTAAACATCTGTAGAGATTCTCAGTCAACCAGGTCAGTCGTGGTTTCCCAAAGGTGCTTTTTTCAGGAGGCAACTGGACTTCCTTTCTTTCTTCTTTTGGAGACGTTTTGCTTCTCATCTTCAAAAGAGACCATTTTCAAAAGAAAAAAGAAGAAAGTCCAGTTGCCTCCTGAAAAAGCACCTTTGGGACAGCCATGACCTGGATGACTGAAAATTTCTACATACTTTTAGCTATACAATTTGGGATGAACACCCTTTGAATGGAGTGAGAGTAGGAATGGACTTCCAGAGGGGGGAAAAAACCCTGCAAACTACAGCTGGATAAACCTGGATGTGTCACGTGCTGTTATGCCCATGCCCAGTTTAGCGAAGAGAGAAAAAGTCCCGATACATCACATGACGCTGTGGTGGCGACAAGAGTTTGACACCCCCACACTAGCAAAATGCAAATGACCAGCTGTCTGCAAGGAATATAAATCCTTCCCATTCCTCACCATCCTGAAGAAGGTTCTTGGATGAGAAGTGAAACGTCTTCAAAGAAATAAACAAGAAAGTCCTGTTGCCTCCTGAAAAAGCACCTTTTGGGATAAGCCTAAACAGTTCTATTTTACCTAGGCATATCTCTGCCCTCCAAGACAAAGATTAAGAGTTATTAAGACTTAATAGCCAGCCAGCCACACTCCAATCTACACCTAAAAAAACTACACACAACAGGCTCCATATAAATACCACATACGGAGGTGTGTGCTCAAAGCACACAGAGAAGTTCCCCGAGGATGGACTCCAGCCACAAGTTCCAAAACTCAAAAGACAAAATCTCTGGTTCCAGTGACCGACCCAGACTGGATCCTGCAAAGACTAAGGGGCTTTGCTTCCACCGTTTGCAAAAGCCGAGGATATGCAGCTGCTCCTTAATTCCATATCTCTGAGCCAGCTGGATTCCAATGAATTCCATAAAAATTTTGGAACAACACAGGTACTTTGGATCAAGAGACTAACATTAGTCAACGTTAAAGCTGCAATACACATTTCATTAACCTTCCTGTGAAAGAAGAAGTCCAGATGCCATCCTGCTCCTATAAGTCCACCCGGCACATAATGTGGTTTTATGGCCCATACATTACAAGAGTTTAAAGTGAAACAGATGGCACTTTTATTCACTAGCTTTCCCAAACAAGATATAAACTATTAAGGCTCCTGGGGAGATTCATGTACTTACACAATGCCATTACCGCATCTGGTACACTCAGGGAGCACCTGCAAGCCAGACATGGCTCCACCCAGTTTAGGGACGGGAGATTTAATGTGTCTTGGACTGGTCACTTTGTCGTACTTTTCACCTGCCAAGGAAGGTAAGATAAACATTTCAGTACTATTGATTTAAGGCCTGTGGAATGTCCCAGATGTGCAGACTTCTTTGTTTAAATACAGGTAGTCCTTGACTTACAACGGTTCATTTAGTGACCATTCAAAGGTAGAACGGCACTGAAAAAAGTGACTTATGACCATTTTTCACATTCCTGACCATTGTGGCATCCCCATGGTCATATGATGAAAATTCAGATGCTTGGCAACTGGTTCTTGTTTATGATGGTTGCAGTGTCTTGGGGTCATCTTTTGTGACCTTCTGACAAGCAAAGTCACATTCACTTAACAACCATTACTAACTTAACAAATGCAATGATTCACTTAACAACTGTGGCATGAAAGGTCATAAAATTGGGACAAACTCACTTAACCAATGTTTCACTTAGTAACATAAATTTTGGGCTCAATTGTGGTTGTAACTCGAGAACTATCTGCAATGTCTTCTTGAATTCAAAAATAAGGAGGGTAGTTTTAAAATATACACACATTCCTTTCTTTATCACGAGAACGATAGGGACATCCTAAGGCTGCTTTCACAGAAAGCAGAAAATGCCTTCAGAAATCATTGGGATTTTTTTTTTCCTGGGCTAATATGGGGCTATATGTCAGATGATATAAAGATTAGGGAACAGGTGACCAGCATTAATCTTAAGGTATTTATTTTAAAATGGTAGCATGACTGTAAGAATTAGAAAGCAAGATAACATGGAATATCATATGAAGTTCTGTTTTGCTAAATAAAAACCAAACATTGAAAAAAAACAAAAACCAGGGAAAATGGTGTGAAAGATATTTTAAAAATAACAAAGGAAAGCTGGTACCAATGAGCCGTATAGAGGAAACACAGAAGACAGATGATGTTGCCTAATTTAGAAAATGTTTCAACTTTATGGAGTTTTTGGGGGGTGGGTGGGAGATATGACCTCTTGCTATGTAAAGGAAATCAAGCAAGGCAATAATACTGCTAAAGTGCACTTTTATAGCACGCCAGATTTATTGGTTTTACTGTATGTCAGGACTCAGAGAGACTTTTAAAGCCCTGTAATAAAAGCAAGACAGCATGTTAGAAACTGGCTTTTTTAAAGGATATTATATTGCAGTGCAATCCCCATACCACCGGAGCACCAGAAGAACACCGTTGGCATTGACAAAATCACAGTTAGTCAATTGCAAAAAGCAGCTTTACTTGGAACAGCTTATATTAATAAACCTGGATTCATTACATTAATAAGAGGAAGAAGGTATATTGGATATGTTTGCCACCTGGAGTTCATTGTAAAAAAAAAAAGTAAAGCAAGATACAAATAAACAGATAAAATATCTTGTGATGATACCTTTAGTGCCCTCAAACAACGTCTGCCTCTCCCAGGTCCTTGGGAAGGACTCAATAGATGGATTGAAATGCCAAATCCAGCCTAAACATCTGGCTACTGTGTAGTCAACCATCACGATCAAGAATTATTGCACATATGGTTTCTAAGATCAGCATGTACCTTAAGGTATGCATAAAAGAGGAATGTTTGTGTTCCTTACCATTCTCTCCAGCTTCCAACATGCCCTGCAGATACCGGAAAGATCCTGACTGCTTAGGTTCTGAAACAGGCCTTTCATGATCTTGTAGCATTTTGTACACATCCGAGTCTGTGTCAATTCCATTTTTGTTCCTTGGGAGAGACCTTAGAGGATCAGCACTATTTGAACAGAAAATGAAGGTCAACCAATTGATGCCAACTGAAGAGGCACCAACCTAAAGTCGATTAAAGAAAAGGAATCTTTCATGAGGAATTTCTCTCATAACGTTTTCTAGAACTGCTTCATCAAATCATGAGCTGGAGAACTGCAACTTTTGGCAAACAAATCCTATGTTTACGAATGAAGATTCAACCATTTGTTTCTGCTTTCTTGTTTCTGGAGTGATGGTTGGTCATGTACATGTGCAATCTATTATATGCAAAGAATTGCCAATGAAAGAACCCTTGAGTTCATTCTACTGGCTACTGAACCATATATTTAAGACTAACCAGTAAGTGCAAGACAGCTGCTGCAATTCATTGGATTACTGTGTTACACATGGATCATATTTTTAATGCATTAAATTAAATTACTGAAGAAGTTGGAAGTCCTCCCACCACTGAATAATATTTGGCACTGAAGGTTTTTTTTTTTGTTATTACCAAACATTGTATCAGGGATACTACTTAAAAAAAAGAAAAGAAACTTCACTCCTTATACATTTGAAAAAAAATGTTTGATGAAATGTTTGATGTTTTATTTGATGTGAATTGCAAACACATATGACTAAGAAGTCAAAATTAATGGTCACTCACACCATCACACTGGGTCCTTTGGGAGATCTATTTTGCCATTCATAAATTTTGGAGGTGTGATGGTGAAATAGAAAAAAGCTCATTTCAGTTCAGCCTTATTTAAATGTTGCATTCTGAAACTTTACATACTACCACAAACCCCTGGAGAGATGCAACAGTGTGCTGGACTACATAAAGTCCCTGAAAAATGTGGACTGGGGTTGGAAATGACAGTCAAGGATGGTCACTCTTGAAACTGCTGGATCATTTTGCTACTATTTTAGCCAAAATGGCTGAAATTCGTCTGAATTTTTTTTCATCTGTTTTTCTATTGATTTCACCTTTATCATCTCAAATAGATTTCCTATTTCTTGTTTATTTGCATCTGGAATCAGTAGAAATTATGGATTCAAATTTGATAGATTTTAAACATCTAAAATATTTTTTAAACAAGCCACCTTTTTAGTATTATTCTATTCATGATATTAAAGGATACAGCTGTGATTTGTTATTTTTCAAATGATCTGTGATTATAAAATCTAGCTAAGAAATTATTTAAATGCTATCTACAGTAATGTCCTTCAGAGGATAAAAATTATGCTTTCAGAAGAATGAATATTTAACACCAAAGTATGTTTGTACTTGGAAAATGCAGCATCTTCACTTAATTTTTGGCCAGTTCCAAACTTCTATTCTTTTGAATTTTTGTTATTCATACAATATACCATGCAGATCATTTGATGTTCTGTGTGATTAATTCTAGTTGATGGCCCAAGGGATGCTACTGTAGTATAAACCCAGATGTCTGAATTTAATCTAGTAGACCAGACCAGTTTAAATCTCAGGCCTAAATATTCATTTCATATTACAAAAATGTATCTTTTTGTGCCTTTAAAAAACTATTACTTTGTAGCACTGCATATATAATTTAAAGAAACAGTGTGGTGTGGTAATTAAGGCACCAGGCTAGAACCCTAGAGGTTGAGTTCTTAGGGACAAAGTCAGCTGAGTGACCTTGAGCCAGTCATTTTTTCTTAGCCGTAGAAGGAAGGCAATGGCACACCACCTCTGAAAAAAATCTTCCCAAGCAAACTGCAGAGACTTTGCCCAGGTAGTTTGTCAGAATAGAATAGAATAGAATAGAATAGAATAGAATAAATAGAATAGAATAGAATAGAATAGAATAGAATAGAATAGAATAGAATAGAATAGAATACTTTATTGGCCACATATGATTCGACACACAAGGAATTTGTCTTGATGTAAATACTCTCAGTATACATAAAGAAAAGATACATTTGTTAAGAATCATAACGTAAAACACTTAATGATAGTCATAGGGTACAAGCAACAATCAAATCATACTAGGAAACAGTCAACATAAATCGTAAGGATACAAGCGACAAAGTTACAGTCCTACAATCACAAGTGGGAGGGGATGGGTGATAAGGAGCGATGAGAAGATTAACAGTAATAGTAGTGCACACTTTGTAAATAGTTGAACAGTGTTGAGGGAATGAATGAACAGAGGGGATGGGGGAATAATATAACATTACACATGTTTTATTCAGATGGCTTTACAAATGGGAAAGTCTATGGATATTCTCAATCATCCAGGCCATGATTGTCCCAAAGATGCCTTTCAAAAAGGCAACTGGACTTCCTTGTTTTTTTCCTCGAAAATGTCTCACTTCTCATTCAAGAATCTTTTTCAATTCTCAGTTGCCTTTTGAAAAGCACATTTGGGACAAATGAGAATGTTCTAATATGAATTTCATTTTTCTTTTGCCAATTTAGCTTGAAAAAAAAATTATGCTGCTATTTTAACAATTGTATACTAAAAGATAAAGCAAACCTGTAACACAAACACTGTTTTACCCATGGTCTGTTGAACAAGTCATAATTTATTGTCATATGCTAAGCTGTAAATCTGTTTAAAATCTATAACAAAGTGGGTTTGAGATAACTGAAACAATGAATGTTTATGAATCAATGTGATATGTGTCTTTTAATTAGGCTATCCTGCCTGGGGTATAAAATTCTCAGCCATCACTAGGCAGCAAAAAGGTGGAGAAAATTCCTCTGTTTTGCTGCCATCTAGTGGCCATCAGGATTTTTGGAGCCTAGGTAGTGTAGGTTGACTTTTAGTAAAATAGTTGAAGACTTGGCTGATTCATTTGGGAAAATAGCGCTAAAATGATTTTTCTCAAGTATTTAAACCCATTTTAGGTGGAGATGGAATGCTCTTCCAACAGAAGCACAGTCGTTTTAGTGTGTGTGAAAGAGTGAAGATTTTCACTTGGAAAAAAATGGTGCAAAAAACTTCCCTGATACTTACCTTTTCATACTGGCTGTAACCATGTCTGGACTAAAACATCCAGATGACATTAAATGGATATGAAAAGTGAGAGCTTTCTATATCTACCTATTGCCCTCCTAGCAATTGTCTGCATTTTTGCAACATGGATGCAGCAGCCCTACTTCATTAATTCAATTCAGGCATTTCTAAAAGCAATTCAATTGACATGTACACTTTTTACTCCATACCTTTGGGGAGTTGTGATATGGAGACCACTCATCTGTGAAGGTAAACTAGAATCTGGACTGTTGTTTGCATACAGACGTAAAGGATTATTGAATTGCAAATTTAAGGTCTGCTTGTTGTCTGTTGGACTTCCTCCAGGTGAAAAGGCCATGGGTCTCCTATTTGGAACAGGTCCATTATCCTAAACAAAAGAAGAAATCATGATAAGTTGTCCTTATCCATAATAAACTACCACTTTCAGAAAATGGAGATCCATTAAGTGGTCCACCAACTGCAAACAATATTTATTTAATAGCAATGGAGCCTGAAAATTGGGAATAAAGAATCAGCAAAGAGGATCTGTTTGAGGAGGAAGAAAATATATGTATTTCACATGTGTAAGACACCTGTTGTACAATGTCTTCTTGTGTTTTAACTTGTATTGCATCTAAATTAATTGAAATACATATTCAAGTTAGATCCTAGTCAAATAAGAGATAAATGTATGAACAGATGTAAATATGGCAGTTTAATGTCTGTAAAAAAATAGTGTTATTGTTTTTTAAGCTCTGTAATCTATTAATGTGAAGTCAAGGGGAGCTGGACTAGGAAATAGGCCTTCTACGTTATAGTTTAACATTATGGAAATACAATTAATTCATACTCCTTCTCAGTCAGGAAGACTTTTAAAACTATCTCTTTAAACTGCTGTTTGAATCTTAGGATGATTGCCAGTATCCATTTATTATTATATAGTAAAATGCATGTAAAATTATTTTATTATTTTAACAGTTATTTTGATGCCATTCATGAAGTTTGGTGCGGTGGTTAAAGCACCAGGCTACAAAGCAGGAGACTATGAATTCCAGTCCTGTCTTAGGCATGAAAACAGAAAGGTAATCTTGGGCCAATCACTCTTTCATACCCCAACTTACCCCACAGAGTTTTTGTGGAGGAGGAAGGAGTATTAAATATGTTGGCTGCCTTGAGTTATTTATAAAAATAATAAAGTTGGGATAAAAAATCTAGTATCTATCTTCATAAATCTGTTCAGAATATTTATTTGCTAAGTCCATTTTATAGCTTCGCTCACATCTCTCAACTTATGTGAGTTTCCCTTGCCTCTTTAATACAATGTGAAAAAAGGCTAGCAATAAATCATTGATATCTCTCTGAATCCTAACAATAGCTCTCATTTTTATACTTAAAATGTAATTAATTTGTTTTAAATAAGCTGAAGTTCAGGTAAGACTTCTATAAACCTTCTCTACAAAACAAAATGAATTCTAAACCTACACTGAATTATTCTTCCAGGACTAATAATTAGATCATGAGCATTTTAAAAATTATTCAGAAAAAGTGCTCTGGATACTGCACAAGGATAATATTCTTTATTTCTGATATTTTGTTAAGACAATACCTGTTTTTCCCTCCTATAGACAAAAAGGGTGGTGGTGCTGCTTAAAAATCAGAATGACCTTTGAAAGAGCTAATGACCTAATTTAAGCAATTTTGAAGAGCAGCAGAAAGTAGTTACACTCATGGAGGCAAAAGCCCAGTCACACAGTACTTACAATCTCCATGCTTAGAGACTGTAATGTTAAGATATGCATAAGCAATGTAAAGATTTTTCTAAAATTTTCCGCAAATACTTTATGTTTTACAGTTTTTCAAATATTTACCTATAAATGAATGCTACTCTTAAAACTAGCTGGTTTTTCATTTCCACAAGAAGGATTTCTCTAGAACATTTGTTTGCGCTAGAACTGTTTAGAATTGCAAGCCCTGATTAACTATGGATTCCTTACTTCCCATTTATTTCTTCCTGATTTCTGGGAATGGATGCTGATTATGATAGTAAATGGCATCAAGCCAGCATGCCTTTCCAACCCCTCAGCTGGTGCCCGACTATTCCTCTGCACTGCCCAATTCTTGTACAGGAAAAGGAACTAGGAGGGGAACAAACAGTCTACACAATCAGGAACGAAGCCAGACTTTTCTGGTAACTCCTTGTACCTAGAAAATGTTTATGTGGACCTGTCACTCAGGCAGTTCTACTGAAATAGATTGGACCATGGTTTGTTCTTTCCCATTAAAGAGAAAGCAGAGATGGGACAATCAAATACCAAATTAGCTTTGTTTCTGGAAGCAAGGTCTGGTTCTTATGGAGGAGGAAAGAGGCACTACAATTCTCTTCAAATGGCTGGAATAATAAAAATAAGAAGAACTACAGCATACAAAGCCAGAATCAAGAAGACAGCAACAAATACCAAATTCCACTCTGCAAAGAAGCCAAAGAAATAGTGGACCACCTCCTTAGCTGCTGCCAGAAGATCACCCAGATGGACTACAAACAACAGCACGTCAAAGTAGCAACAAGGGTGCACAGAAATATCTGTAACAAATACCATTTGCCTTCAAGCAAAAAATGGGTGAGATCATAAAATAGAGAAAGTCATAGAAATGAAGAAGTTGAAGTGCTCTGGGATTCTACAGTTCAAACAGACAAGCACTTGATATATAACACTCCACATTTAACAATTCTTGAGAACAAAACAAAACAAAAGCCTGCATAGTAGATATGTCAGAGCCTGGAGACAGCAGAAGGGAAGAGAAAGAACCGGAGAAAAATCACAAAATATAAAGATCCACAAATAGAAATAAAATGACTATGGCAAAAGAAAGAAAAAGATACTACCAATTATAATAGGCTCCTTGGGTGCAATCCCAAAGTACTTAAGGGCATCACTTCAACATCATTGGCATCAACAAAATTACCACCAGTCAATTGCAAAAGGCAACTTTGGAATACTATATACCCTGTGATGTATTATTTAATGTGATGTATTATGTAGTATTTAGCACCATCAAACAAAAACAGCTGCCTATCTCAGGTCCTTGATAGGTGGATTAAAAAAAAACTTTGTTCAGTGTCCTTACAACTTTGAATGATCACTAAACCAATAGTTCTAAGTAGAGGACTATACCACTAGCATGAATTAGCATCACATATGTTTGACATCCTCCATCAATATGTTAAGGTTGCAGGGGAGAAGAATCAGGATAAGTACAGCCTCCTCTCCATAGGATTCTTCTTCCTCCCATTGTACAGAAGTCAGGGTGAGATTGTAATGGGCATTTCTCATTTTTTCTGTACCTGTTTTTTTTTAATTTCCCTAGAAGTCTAAACAGAGCTAAGATGAGAATGAAAAATATGAAAGTAAATAAGCAAGCTCAGTACTTGTTTTAAACAATTGCTGTCAGCAGTCATAGAGAGGGAGATACAGTTCAATTATTTGTCTTTCGGCCTTAGATCTAGCATTTTCCAGATTTTTAGTTTTTGCTACTTTAATTAGAAATAGCACATTTTCAAATGTTAAAACATGCTTTTTAATTTTCCTGACTTTATTGCCCTGTTACACTGAAGGGGAAAGGAATGGTAAGCTGGAAATATGTTGCTTTGGCTAAATGCAAAGTTTTCCTATCCTAAATTAGCACAAGAGAAAATAAATACTTAAAATGTTCAAAAACAAGCAAATTGCAATATGCATAAGAAAATATGAGAGAATATTTGATACAGCTCATTTTTGTCTTACTGAATATTATAAATTCGGTATACAGATTTATTCTCTCTGAAGAGAACCTTTTTGATTTGTTACCATACTTCCTGCTGAGTCCTGTCAACTAGCACACAGGGCCTTTTATAACTATAATAGTTTTGCCAGATTCTTAGTTCCTGAAAAGTGATTTAACGTTTCTGAAATGCACAACCCAATTCAGCATCGTTTATTTCAGCTTTTCTTCCTACTGACACAAACAGGGGGCCCCTTTCAGTGAGCCCTGATAAAGCAAGGGGCAGGATTCCTGTAAATTTAGCTGCTGTGTAATTTTTAAAAAATATATATTTTAAGCCTATATTTTAAAATAGTTCATGAGATTACTGCAACTATAACTTTAAACAAAATGATAGTGCTAACCACTCTTTTAAAAGTAGAGAGATTTTAATGGATATTCTAAGAGAAGGAAATCCATGTTGACTAGGGGATTCACAAAAAATGGGTCTAATTACAAATTCTGATTGGAGCAGAAGAAAATCTAAAAGGCCAAAAAAGTTTTTTAAAAGACATTCTATCATTTTTTCTCTACTGTTTTGGAAATTCTATTTTTGTCATAGTTGAAAATTACATTTCCCGCCATTATTGCATGTCAGAAAAGTCAAGAAATTTTCATGTTTGTATCAATCAAAATGATTCTTGCAATTTAAACAAACAAACCCTTATATCAAACATGGTATTACTTCCCCAACTTTCTACAAATCAACAAATGTTGGCTTGAGAATAGTTCTTTTCCAAAGCAGTCACAATATGTAGATGGCATGTCAGAGAACATTGTGTTCCTATGATTCATCTTTCCTTGAGAAAGAGCCATTCATACAGGGATGAAGCTGTCTCTGATTCTATGCCTAGAGATTAAAACCCCAGTCTACCTAACTACTCACCTGTCCTTCAGGTATGCAGTTCCCTTCATATGGAAAGCCAGAGAGGAGTCCTCAACTGCATGAGAAGCCATCATGGTCAAGAGAAGGAGGAGGAAGCTGCTTTTCAACTACAGGTTCTTGTAATCAGAGCTGATTGACTCCTATCTTCCTGAGACAGACAGGCTGGGAAAGCCCTGAATTTAAGGCACTCCCTGAGAGCCTTACAGTAAGGGAATAACTTTTGTGACATCTTCTAGATTATGTAAGTTTCCAACTTCAAGCCATGATAGTCTCTTGGAAAACCTGGACTCTTTCTGCCTCACTGTCAGCAAGAAATTTCTGGTTATCTTGTACTTGGAGCGCAGCTTGCTTTTATAAAATTTATATTATGACTGCTTCCTCCCCAGTTAAAAAATCCTGCCCAAGCCTTGTGAACTGGGACACACAAGAATGTATTTTTCTAGAAAAGTTATTCTGTTTTGCAGATGGAAAAACATCTTGGAGGAACTCCAAACAGAACAAATTGGAAGTGCATGGGAAGGAACATACAAAACCAGGACCAAATGTAAAAGGTTAACATTAACTCAGTTCTAAGCCATTTATTGTCTGAATAATTATCTTTAAGAAAACTTTCTCCCATAGCATCTTGGCTCAGCTCTGCTTCAAAGGGACTGCTCACCTAATTCACCATTACCTTCATTTAGACTGATAAGCTCAAGAAGTAA